CCCGACAAATGTTCGAATTCGCAAAGTTTTTGCCGCGCTTTGTTCGCATGCAGCGAAGCGCGCCAATCAATGGCCAAAAACTTTCCTCTCGTCTTGGCCAAATGAAAAACAAAAACAACAACAGCAACAACATCCAACAATTTCACTTGGCCCGAAGGCAGCTTCAGCGACGCAGTTGACATTAATTGAGCCTATTAAACTGTGCGCTAATAAGTTGCAGAGCCCAACTTATTGTATTGTTATTTCCCATTTCCCTTGAATCAGAAACTGTTGTCGCCGTTGTTGCTGTTGTTGCTGATGTTGCTTCTGTTGTTGTTGTTGTTGTTGTTATCATGTTTGTTCGCCTGTCAGCTGGCCGAATCAGAACGATTAACACTTGGATTGTTTCAAGAGCGTGTGGAACATTAATATTGGCCCCTTTGGCCAACAGCCACTGCGTGCGGGCACAATGTGAAAGCCGACATTGGGTAATTAACCGAATGTTAAATGCCCTTAAAGCATTTGGAATAGGGTATTATTATTACAAACTATCTTTAAGTGTGTTTGTAAATTTGCTTAGGTTGTTATTGTTGAAGGAGACATCTCCGAGAGCTCAAATAATACATAAATACATATTCCCAATACCAATAATAGCCAATAATATCAGAGTAGGACGATAGGAATTAATGGTCATTAACTGAGTTAAAGCATGAAAAATCAGCCAGTTTTTCAGTATATCTTCACATCTCCTTATATGTAGACAATATTTTCCATGGCACCAAGTTATAAGCTTGTATCAGCATTAATAATTCTATATCATAAAGTTGCAATAGGAACTATCAATCGAACATTTTTTTTTGACAAAACGATTATTTTTTATAATTATTGTCAATTAATTATAAGTATTAAGATTAATATCTGGCGAGAACTGGACTCTATATAGCAGAAACTGTTAGTATGTAGATCAGATTAGATAAATTCGAATTCGTATATCAATGCTAATCATAAAAATCTGCTTCGTGTCAGACACCAAATCAAGACATCTCGACATGCTAATTAAGAATTTACGATTCGTGGTCTTATAATTCTCCATCTGTGTGTGTGTGTTGCGAACTTCATGACTTTATTATTATGCCGCGCAACAAAAGGTGCTCAACGTTGGCTTTGGGCCCAAAAGGTCGCTAGCCAATGCCCAACAGCGGCAACTAATTTAGGGCTTAACTCTAATCAGAGTTGAGCAGCGGTGGTCAAGCCATTCACATAGATTCCTACGGCACGCATGAGTTGGTAGATGTGTGTGTGCGAGTGTGTGTGTGTGTGAGTGCCTAACCAGGTTTTACAGTGTGCGTGCGCACATTTTAATGACAGCAACTGCGGCGGACTCTCAACTAGAACTGAAGCTAAAAATGAAACAGAAGCTGAGCTCAAAAAAAGGAATATATCGATGTGAGGAAGTATCCAACTGGCAGCTACACTGCAACAAGAGCCGAGACTATGCTTCTTCTTTAATATGTTTTATTTCTTCGCTGCTTATAATAAATGTTATATAAATGTTACGACGTTGTAAGGGTATCAAAATGGCATCAAAATGTATTCAAATGTATTCTTCTTTAAATTCCTTGTTTTATTTTCCGGATGTATCCCCTGCGAGATATACGAATAAGTGAAACATTGTTGATCTGTGTATACTCTAAAATATCCCATGTAATTCAATATCTAACATGTCTTTTGCTCTTATGCTCTTAAAAAAGTATTTTGATATCGATTCTTATCATTCGGGGCGAGTTATCCATTAATCAAAATTATGTTTATCTTTTCTGCATCAACTACACCATTTGAAGTCTCTAGTCTCTCATAAGTCCTGGCTGCTATACATGCTCATAGAATAGTATTTCAATATCGATTCTTATCGACCAGGGTGAGCTATCGAGAGAGACGATCTAGACGATCACACACTAGGAGCGTATATGTTAAAAATTTTGAGTCTGTTGGACTAACATCAATCTGTATATTATTGCTGATCAGGAATATAAGTATATACCTAGAAGATTCGGAGTTGTATCCTTCTAAACGCTAAACATTTCTTCACAACATTATAGCACGCTCTACTAGAGTACAAACTATGTCCACAGAGCCCACACATAGCTGCAGCTTCTGTCTGTTATCTGTTGCCAACTTTTGATATTCTGTTCAATTTACATGTTGCAGCCACTGTTGCATAATTAAAATTTGGAAATTAATTTCATAATTTCTCCCTTTCTATTATTAACAGTCTCTTTTTTTTTCTTTTTGCTGGAGAGCTGTCGAAACAAAAGCCCTGTGCCGAAAAATGTGCCCGGCTTTGTATGATGATGATGATGATGATAATGATGCTCCATTCTGAAGCGTTCGGTTGGGCTGTATTTTGTTTTGTTTTTGTGTCGGTTCCTGTTGCTGGTCCTTCGCTTGGTTATTTTTATTATTTATGTGCATTTTGATGTGGCCAGTTTTATGGAGTTGTTGGGCTCTGCTGCATATTTTGTTGTTCCATGTAGTTTTGTAGCTGCAATATTCTGTTATGTTTTCAAAAATACAATTTTTCGTGCCAGACCCCGAAAGTTTTTCTCGCTTAGCCGGAGGAGGAGTGTGTGGCGAGGAGTTGCTGTCGGTTATATTTTTGCGTATTGTCGGATATAAAATTGTAATGCAACAGCAGCTGACAAAGTTCTGAGCATCAGCTGACTGTAAAAGTACAAGTTTTTCGTATTTATTTGGATAAAACGGAATCCATTTTTTCCACTCTTCCCTCTTAAATTTTTATATTTATGACCACACTTCACACTCTCTGCCCGTGGGTTAATTAGCACGAGCAGATACAATGGCAATAAATGGAAATCGCTCAACATGCAAAACAAGCGTGCAGATACATTTGTATCTGTATCTCTGCATCTCTGTAGCTGTGCACGGCGAGCGCCCATTGGGAACGCCTTAATTTCCGCCTCACATAGGGCAGATATATATGTGCATATGGTATATAGTTCCGATTTACCTTAATGAGGCGTCTGCTGCTGACGTAATGCACGCACTACCAGAAGGCCTCCAAGCTCTTGAAGTGGCTCGGGGCCTGCCGCTTGGCCAAGCGCTCATTGTGTGTAAATTTGTTACCATTTTTTTTTTGCCTGTGCGTGTGTTTGTTTCCCTCGCATCGCACATAAAAGGTAATTTCTAATTTGCTGGTGTTTTATTGTTTCTTGCGCGCAGTTTTATGGCGGTGCTGCCAGCAGCGCCGACTTATGCAATAGACCCGACAGCTCAGGCTCAGACCTGAGCGGCGACTGCGACTGCGGCAGAGGCAGCGGCGCATGCGCTCAAATTACATGGCAGCTGTGGCGAAGACTCGCCCCGCTGCTCGTAAAAGCATAACGGCTTTCATTAATCATGCAATCCACGTCCAAAACGTAACGCAACCAAACGAAAACGAGGCTAGAACCAAAAGCAAGAAAACTCTGCCATCGACAACTGTTGCCAATTAGCAGCAACATGCAAAGCGCATTTGCAACTGCAACAGCAGCAGCAACAACAGCAGCAGCAGCGTCGCATCTCGCGGGACAACGAGAAAAAAGCAAGTTAGAGGGCTCTAGTTGGGAGTGTGCGACTAAGAGATACCCTGAACTGTTCGCTTCAAGCACTCGAAAACTATCCTATATAAGCTTACATGTCTTCTGCTTTAAGGAAATACGGTTTTCCAATTTTGAGAAGACACTCGGAACGGCATTCAAAAAGTGTAATATTCTGTCTGCACTATACGAGAACGTGGATACCATGTTAAATGTATCTAGCTCTCATTCTTCTCGAGTTAGGCTTAGAAAAACATTGCTCACTATCGATGTTATCAAAATGTGAGGAGTATCGACAAAACTTCTTTAGAGAACATGCTATTTGATTTCCAAGTCTGTTGCTCTTGTAGATTCCAAAAAAATATCTCAATATCAATAATTTCAAAATTTGAGTCGATCTTTACAAAGTTATAAACTTTTTTCGAGTATTGGAAAGGGGAATACGTATGTATATTGGATCTCACTTTTTTAGCTCAACCTCCCTTAAAAAATATATATAGTATAATTAGTTGAGTCGCAGCTGCTTTCTGCCTGTAACATAACCTTGCACAAAGCCACGCTACCCTTTCTACCCATTTTCACTGAAAAAAAAAACGTATCCAAAGAGCGTTAGTTTTTCCCGCTAGCCATAGATTTGTATGTGTGCATTGTAAGCAGCGGAGGATGTGATTAGATTATAAAGGTTTAAGAGTTGAGCCAGACGAAATAGAGGCATAAACTTGACTGTCCAGCCAATTAGACGCATGTATCTCTTAGCCTTGTTCTAGAGAGTTCAAGACACAGCAGGAAATGTTCCATAAAAATGCTATGCCTATGCAGAAATTAACATTGGCAAGATACAAATACAACCCGGAAAAGAAATTGGGCCCATTTCAAACTAAACTGAATAGGAATTCTTTTCGAGAACTCCGCCTATATTTTAAACGTATTTCCACAATTTCCCATCCTTCTCTTTAGCGTTAAAGTTGTGTATTTAAATATTTGTTTATATCTTTATATATTTCTTACTGCCATTCCAGTTGAGTTAAAGCTTAAATTAATAAATCGTCTGGAGATGCATTTGTGATATTGAAATAGTATTTTCCTTATATTTTTCCATTCCAACTTCGGCTATAAAATAATGTCTAGTTCTATATTTCAATATTTCTACATTCATCTCTGAATTTCACTCTTAAGGAAACAAATCTCCTTTGTCTACGTGATATTTGTACTTAAATTTCTGTGCCTTATCCTTGCCGACCTCAGCTTAAAAAAGAATATATTCAATATATACCGGTTTTTTTTTCGCATGCAAACACAATTTGACCTGTTCTCATTTGATTAAAACAATCTGCTACCTGATCGGAGTTACGCATATGCGAACACGTGCGCCATTAATGGCCAAATCCTGAGAGGCCGTTGGCCAATCTACCTGCTAGTGTTTAAATTGGGGGCGCCAGGGCAGAGATTGCATCATTTGGCCAGAGACACGCAAAGGAAGCGCATCATGTGGCAGACAGACGCAGACACAAACATATCAGACTGTGCAGAAAGGATTATGGAGTCCATTGGCTATGCGCTGTATATGCATCGGCAGGAGCTGGGGCGCCCAAGGCGCTGCCGTCGCCTGATGCGCATCGCCAGCACCAAGCTGCGGCTGACAAATGAGCTGATCTGGCTGGAACGCTGCCAGTGGCAGCTGGAGGAGCCCGACTATCAGCAGTGGAGTGCACTAAATCGTGAGCGCGAATATCGAGATATATTGGAGCACAACATGCAACAGCAGCAGCTGAAGCAGCAGCAGCTCAGGCAGCGACAGCTCGACAGGCGCCGGCATGAGACGTGCCAGAACACGGCGCGCCCCGTTTAAGATAGATTAGTTAGTCCCGTCCGGGACTTTAAGCACTTTTAGTTTAAGTTCAAGTTTAAGCGATAAGCAATAAAGGCGCATAAATCATCAAAGAGCTGCTGCTGCTGCTGTTGCTTTTGCTTCTGGGATAGACGCTCGTTTGGTGTGAACGAAAAACCAGCCAAGTGCTTGGCTTCTGACACTGTCTAAACTCGGTGCCGAGGGGAGTTTTTCGGCAAACGCCGAGCTGACAGGGCCAAACGCTAAGAAAATGCAACAACAGCAACCAAACAAGACCACAACAACAACAACAACAACAACAACGACAAAAAGAGCCGCAACTGGCAAGTTTTTCAATTTCCTGTAGCCATTACGCAGCGTGCATCGGAGTTGCAAGTGTCGCGTGACACGCACAAGCGTCTCGTGACACGAACAGAAATATTAGCTAAATAAACCCAAGATTAGTTATTTAAGACAAATTTGAATTGAATTTAAATTGAAGCACATGTATAATTGATTAAAAAGGAACTAGTTTCCTTCGGGTTCTATAAAATATATTATATATTTTTTTATCAGATCATGTCATTAATATATATATAATATATTAGGTTAACGCTTCCAACTAGTTCCTTGTCTTGAGGTTCGGTTCGTGCGCCTAGTTGTATACATTCATAAGCCTAGCTGTTGGTTCAATCTTAATTTTGAGACTAGTTTCTAAAGTAGTTCTTTAGAGCTTTTTTAGCAGTTCCCTTATGATTTTTATGTAGTTTTTTGTTGTCATTTTGTGTCTTGTTTCTGTACTATTTTTTTTAAAACTTTTTGCCCCATGATTTCCCCATGATTTTTTGTAGTTTTATTTTGTGATTCATTGACTTGCTTCTCCACTAGTTCTTTAGGGGCTCTTTAGTAATTCTTTTCTAGTTCTACTCTGAGCTTAACTATTTAATCGGCTTGTTTCTATATAAGTTCTTTTGCGATTCTTTGTTCCCCTATCGTTCGATAGTTCCTTTGAGCTTGAACTGCCTGTAAGAATGCGTCACGCTCCCATCTCTAGCGACTACTTCTTTGTGGTAGCAGTTGGTTAGTCGGCAATTCCAGCTGCTCTGCTGGCCATTGACGTTTCGCGCGGTTCTCGCACGGGCTTTTTTCTCGCTTGATTTGTCACACACACACACACTCGCACGGTTAGCGTACCCAACGGAAAAGTAAACCTGTCCATCTGTCTGAGAACCGGTAACTGTTTTGCCAGGCGTTGCGGCGCTTTCTTTTTGCCCAATGCCAATAGCAAGGGGCTATTGGAAGGGGGTATATGGAGGGGTAGCATCGCTTTGCGTCTCATCTTGACACAGTCGCATTTGTATTTAGCTGCAATACCCTTAGCCTGCCCCTGCCGCTGCCCATCTAATCTCTCCTCAGACTTTGTCTCTGTCGCCTGTTTGTTTGCTATTCTAAGTGCTGGCTGCAGTTTTCTGAGCTTTCCTGAGTTTTCGCTTCGTTTTTCTTGTTTATTGTGCCATATACTCTCTATCTATCTGTTGGCATGTTGGTTATTTATGCGTCTTGTTGTCCCAATTCTGGAGAAAGAAAAAAACCATATGCTGCTGCAGCGTGTGTGCATGCGGTTTTCCATTTTTAAAGTGCCTGCCAACATTTTAATAAGCAGCAGAGAGGACAACAAAACACAGGATATAAAAAAAAAAAAATCCAACTAACAAAAAACTAAATACTTTGTTTCACTTACCTATCGATCGTCTGGACTCTAGGCGCAGTCCGCAATGCTAGAAAGAGAGAGAAAAGAAAAAATAACAATAGAATAAAACTATAGTTTATTATTTAAAACCAAAATCAATATGGAATATTGCGCTGACAACGCCAAACGCATAAAAGTCAACAATGGCCAACAGGGTGACATCAATTTAATGCTTTCAAAATGCGCTTTCAAAACTCCACACCTATAAATATATGTGTGTGTATAAAAAAATGCTGCACGACCTGTGCGACAGCAGATAAAACATAATGCAAATAATATTGTTTTTTATATTTTTTTTTTGTTTTTTTTGTAATCATTGCAAGTCTAAAATAAACAAATACACACACACACACACACAACGTGACATTTGGCTGCGGTGAACGGCCGTCTCTCTATGCGATTCTCACGAGTGTTCGCTGTCTCTTTCTGACTTGCAGCTTGCATTTTCGCAAACAAACTTCAAGTTTTTTCCAAAAAGAAAAGAGATTAAAGAGATGTGAAAGTCTGACAGCTGCTGCTACCTTTCTAGGCAATTTCCAAAAGGCCTCAAAGTAAATGTTAAAAAGCTCTAGAGTTTTTTTTTTTTGTGGTACGTCCCTACCTTTCCCAACAAAGTTACAGTCATTTTAATATCAGAATCGTTGGCTGTGACTCTTGTTTTGAAGCAATTAGGCTATGTTTATTTGTGCCTTTCTAATCTGCGTCCACCACACATGAGTTTTTATTTGGAGTGTCTACTGTAGCCCGTTGGCACCTGACTGTGCCCGTGACCGAGTGTCAGTTAACAGCTCAGTCCGCCTGCTGATGACGAAACTTATTCAGCCATAGAACAAAGGCAGCCCGTTTTTCTCGCTATGATAGAGTACATAAATACATTTATATAAATGAACGTACAAACACACATTTGTATTATATATATCTCGTATTTTTCGCACTTGAGTTTTTGTGCATTGGAAATTTTTGTGCGTGTCAGCAGCAGCTGTGTTGGCCACTAAACAACAATAACAAATACAACAACAATTGTAATAATAGCAACAATAAAGGCTAACAAACAAAAACACAAACAACATTGTACAAACAACAACAAAAACACATTTGATTGCTTCCCAAAAGTGGCAGAGAAGTTGCCACAGCACAGCACCACCCACTCAGTGGATGGGAGAGGGGAAGAGGGGAGTGGGTTTGGTGGTGCGACAAAACACAAATAAACAATTGCAATTGTGAGCTGGTTGTAATTCGGTGAGCGGCTAAATCGCCTGTAAATACTTTTGTACAAGTTAACAGTTATAAATGGGCTTTTTATGAGTTGTGTATTGTGTATGTGTGTTGGTGTGTGTGTGTGTGTGCGACAATATTTCAGGCAGGGTCTCGAGTGTTGTAGCTCGAGTGTTGTAATAACAAATAAATGAGATTCGCCAGGAACATGGAGCTCTCCCCAGTGATAACATCGAGCAGCTCCGCATATCTCATGTTGCAACAACAATTGGAAATTGAATTGCCGAAAGTAAAGTAAAGTATAGTAAACACTGGTCAGTGTTGCTTAAAGTATTTTTTTCTCAAATTATTTAAGATATATTTTGCCTAAAATTCTAAATATGCTTTATTTAGGCTTGCATCACTTTATAGTAGAAGATTATTTTATAGTTTTAAGACTTCTTGATTTCTAACTGCAAGAAATTAAAGACTTTTTGCGCTTAATTCAAGTATGCAAGTTCTGGTAAAAAGTATTTTGCAGGTAGGAATTCTTAGTTATAGTAATTTCGAATAACACGATTGAGAGGCAAAACTTAATTTAAGAATTCTGCAAGCTAAAGACATTTTATGCCTAAACAAAATATGCATATGCTTCTAAGTTTTTAGAACTTAATAAAAGTCTGGCTGTTTTAAGTAAATTAAACTTGTTTCATGCTCAATTTAAGCATTTTGAAAACCTTTATATACTTGAAATCTTCAGAATTCTCGCTGGGCTGTACTTGAAGTGGAATTGGCATTTTTCCATTGCGCTTGGACAGCGGCGAGTCTAGGGAAATGTTTGCTTGGACAGAAGTGAAGCCAAGCGATTCTCCCTCCCTCTCTTTCTCTCTCTCTCTCTCTCCCTCTCTCTGTATCACTGTGGTCGCGCCTGTCAAGTGAAATCGACCGTCCATGTCTTAGCTCCATCTTTTGCAGCTGCTGCTGCGGGTTTGTCTGCCAGTTGTCTGGCCAAGTGGTCATGTTGTTATTGTTACGATTTATGGCATACGCACGTAGATCAGCGTTGCAACAGCGGAGGGAGCTCACCCACCAGCACGCCCGGCACACCTCCGGCTCACCTGCTTCACCTGGCTCACACTTCATTTACAGCTTGCAAGTTGAGGGGGATTTTCTATTGATTTTCTCGTTTTGCTGGCGTGTTTTCTATTTGCTGTCCATAATAAACGCCATGCAATGGAAATCATAAAAGTCAAACAGCAGCAGCTGGGCATGGCCATAGTTGCATTTGCCAGCTTCATTAGGAAAATTTTTGCGCTTTCGTCTGAGCGCCAGAAATCAAACAACAACATATAATGATCATAATTATGTTCATAATGTGCTTGACGGACAGGTGAAAGATGCAACCCGCTGGCCAAAAGCCAGCACAATTTTTGGCCAGCTGCCCGCCCTGTGGGTGGGCCGTCTAGGACCATTAAAAACATTTGTTGCACGCTTTTAACGAGCAGTGAAAGTACTGAACGACAAGAAAAAAAGGCATACACACTACAAAGCTAACACAAAACTTTGCATGAATAAACAAAGGCGACAGATAAAAAACACATTCGAAAAAAGGAGGGCGGGGGCGCGACCATGCCCTTTTTTGCTGGCTGGCAGCAGAAATCAAAACTGCAACATCGCAACAAAAGTAATGCAAAATTAAATGTAAAAAACAATCAACAAACAGCGAAAGGGGCAAAAAGAGAAAGAGACAGACAGGCAGACAGACAGACGGACACTCAGACAGAGCGGCAAACAGGCAGCAAATGTTGACAGCCGCAGAATGCAACAAGCAAATTTGCAGCAATACAAAAACAACAAAAGCAAAAACTAGCTCTAGTCGAAAAGGCATGATTCATGATACCCTGTACATAAGCTGATGACAAGCACAAGCTGAACGCGCTTCTGCCTCTTTAAACAAGTACCAGAAAATGTCAATATTAAACAACGTTATCTATTTCTATCTATCTATTTCTATTATAAAAGAGTCTGCCTACAAAAGTTGGGTTCTATATGCTCAAATATCACATATTGAACTCGG